CTCCAGGGAATTGTACACCCCACAGGACTCCAGGGAACTGTACACACCCCACAGGACTCCAAGGAGGAGTACACACCCTACAGGACTCCAGGGAAGTGTTCACAACCCACACAACTCCAGATAAGTATACACCCCAAACGACTCCAGGGAAGTGTACATACTCCACACGACTCCAGAGAAAAGTACACACCGAACATGACTCCAGGGAAGTGTACACACCCCACAGGACTCCAGGGAATAGTGCACATCCCACAGGACTCCAGGGAAGGATTCACACCTCACAGACTCCAGGGAAGGATTCACACCCCACATGATGCCAGGGAAGAGTACACACAGGGCTCCAAGGAAGGATTTACACCCCACAGGACTCCAGGTAAGAGTACACACCCCACAGGACTCTAGGGAAGTGTACACACCCCACAGGACTCCAGGGAAGAGTACACACCCCACAGGACTCCAGGGAAATGCACACACCCCATAGGACTCCAGGAAAGTATCACACCCCACAGGACTCCAGGAAAGTATTCATACCCCACAGGACTCCAGGAAAGTGTACAGATGCCGCAGACCTCCGGGGAAGGATTCACACTCTACAAGACTCCAGACAACTTTCTGCTACCTGTTTGGTATATAAACCCTCTGTAACTCTGATAACCAAATATTCTGCACCAAATTTTATGGCCAGGGAGCATTAGAAACATTTTTAAAGATGCCTGTCTATTATTTCTCCGAAATTAAGCTATTTGGGAAAAAAATTGCTTTAAAAGAATGGATTCTCCTGTCCCCTACACACTTCAAATACAGGAGCAGAGCAGCTCCTCTGGCCCAAGCTCCATGTCCTCATCCTTTTCCATCTTGTTCCTCTGCCTTGGGGCCCATGGGTGACTTCACACACGAAAAAGAGCTCAGGAGAAAAACAGAAGCAGATTGGGACCCTGCAAAGATCTGACCTGGAGACAAATTGTGCTCTGGACAGGCTCGGAGATCCTGTTATCTTGACGGCTAGCCAGCGTGGACGCTGCATCCAGACAGTTCAGTGTTTTAACTGCTTGAGTCTTCAGGTCACCTTATCCGCACTGCCCACACAGAGCCGACACCTGAGGGCTTGTGATAAATTAGAATCATGGAGACTGTCAGAGTAGGAACCTGGGCAAATGAGGGAAAGGCACCAAGCAGATCTCTACTGCACATTTGACCCTTTGGCAAGCTCATTTTGACAAGTGGGCCTGAGGGTGGCAGTTGCTTTAGGTGTTGCTCTTTCTTCTACTAGAAATTAAGTTGCTGATTTAAAATTTACTGAAGAGGGCTGGGAATATAGCTCAGTGGCATAAGCACCTGCCTGGCAAGCACAAGGTGCTGAGTTCGATTCCTGGTACCAAAAGAAAAAAAAATTTTACTGAAGAGAAATAGATGACATTAGCGCTGCCAAAAGAGAGAGGGAAGGAAAGAGAAAAAATTTACTGTAACAGAAAATGCCTCCCCCAGCCAGTGTACTTCAGTTTCTTAGTTGCCCAGGTAACAGTTCCTGTTCCAGTTCCAGTTGCTTCTGTCTCCTAGAAACGGCTGGTCACTGCGATGCATAGCTGGTCACTGTGATCCACATGTATAAACTAATCCCCAGTTGACAAGCCATTCTGCCTCTGAACTTCCTGCTTGCTTATCCCATATAAACTCTAGACCACCAGAGATCAGGGCCTGCTATTCTGGGAGTGATCCTGACCAGTGCCTGTCAATGTAAATAAATCTGCCTCTAAATCCTGGGAGTCATTTTGATATTTCTGTTTGCCGTTGCACCTGGTACATCAGCCAGGAAAACCAACCGTGCTGAACTCTTTGGTCACCAGTTGTGGCCCTCACAGACAGAACAAGGACCTCCCCCGGTTCCGACAGGAAGGCGTGCCCTCAAGATTTCTTGAGACCCCTTGGAGGATTCTTAGCTGCCTGCTTGAGCAGCTCACACTGGACCCAAAAGGGAGGAGGACACAGTCTGTCTGTCTGTCAGCAAACCCCTCTTTGCCTTTAAATGGAAAGATGCCAGTTCTGGACTCAAAAGTCAACTGACTTGGAGTCAACCTCCCAGAGATTAAAAAACTTGTTCACTTTCTTTGGAGAGGCCCTCACAGCTGACTTTGCTAGTTTCCCAGCAAAAAATATCACTGCTGTTCTGATTAATGACACCCAACCTGCTTGCTGGAAAGACACAAAAGCTCTGCTGCAATATCTGGAAGAAACTGGTTACAAGAGAGAAACTACAAATTTCTTGGAGCTGCTGGCTTCTATAGAATCTGGACCCTTCAGTTCACATAAACAACGATGTTTACTCAGACTTTCTGCCCCTGGGAGTGCCCAGTGACCCACCTGTGCAAATACTTGGATCCAGTCACCAAGGGTTGCCTCCCCTCCTTACCTCTGTGCTCTAACGGCCACTGTCTTTCCGATCAAGAAATCTGACAAGCTCACTTTAGACCGAGACCAAACTCTCCATGTGCAGCATGCTGCACTGGAGATACTGCGGTCACCTTGGACAAAGCTATTCTGGCCCATGCTCTCCTGCTACTGCTTTCTGTTGCTGTTTGGAAACCTGCCACCAATGCAAAATAATTCAATATGGAGATCTAAGCTCCCTCTGGGGATCTGATTGACCAAACATCAATCCCAGCCACCAGACCTGCCCCCACCATATGTTCTGCAAATTCAAGCCACTCTTCTGGGACCTGTACCCCTGCAGCGAGCTCAGGCTTCAGCATTTGTGTCACCAGCCCCGACCTCCCATTCCCTACCTGAGCTGAGAGGACAACAGAAGTTTGTAGGGTCCTGCTGTCCCTAGGTATGGTCTACTCTTGACCATTGGCAGTGATAATAAGCCTGCGTTTGTGGCACAGATAACTTAAAACTGACAGAACTATTAAAGATTAAATAAAAACTACATACAGCATACAGGCCACAAGCTCTAGAAAGTTGAAAAAAAAAAACCCCTACAGAAACAGCTTGTAACTAGCTCCACAAAAGTTTAGCTAAAAGACCAGCTATACCTGTAGATACTCCTGCACACACACATAACCCAGCTGTACATTAACTACCTCTGCAAGTTTCAGAAATCCAGCTTTAGATCCACCATTCCAGAGTTAAAAGAGCCAATCCAGATGATTGCTGAAGAATTTACCTGGACAGCTCCTCCAGGGCTCACTCAGAAGAGATGACACACTCAAAGCCCTGCTCTGGTCATTCTGGATGCGGACCAGTCCACCTATGCCTGAAGCCTGAACTGTTCACAGGATTGCCCCATGCCCATTCCCCTGGATTTTTGTGCCTTTTCAGGCTGCTTACCCATGTCCTTGCTTCCCTTCCCTGCTGCTAGCTGTGGTTTTTGCGTTAAACTCTATAGACAGTTGCCCCAAGAGAATAGAGCAATCAAACACTTGACCAAGATTTGATGAGTGTCTAAGGCACACTGGACACTCTCCTAGATCAAATTAAGTTCCTTACTACCTTGCAAGAGTACTGTTACAGAACAGACAGGCCTAAATTATGTCTCTTACTAAAAGCAACTTAGAGAACAACTTTGTAACAAGACAATCTTGGGGAGCTTGGCTAGGGCGCATCCTAGGATCACTGACAACCCTAATGTTACTGCTTCTAGTTGCGCCTTGTCTCAGAAGATCGCATGTAACATGTCCAGCAAAGATTTTCTGGGGAAACTAAAAGAGGGGGGAAATGTAGCAGAAAATACACCCCCAGCCAGTATAATTCAGTTTCTTAGTTGCCCAGGTAATAGTTCCTGTTCCATTTCCGGTTGCTTCTGTCTCTTAGAAACGGCTGGTCACTGTGATGCACAGCTAGTCACTATGATGCTTACTGTAAGAACCAATCCCCAGTTGACAAGCCACTCTGCCTCTGCACTTCCTGCTTGCTTATCCAATACAAGCCCTAGACCCCAGAGATCTAGACCTGATGTTCTGGGAATGATTCTGGTCAGTGTCCGTCGGCATATATAGATCTGCCTCCAAATCCTGGGTGTCATTTCAGTGTTTCTGTTTGCAGTTGCATCAGCATATGCAGAAAATATGGATATGTAATAGAAACCAAAGCAGTTTTTTTTGTTTGTTTTTTGAGATAGGCTCTCACTGTAGTTCAGGTTGGCCTCAAACTCATGGCAATCCTCCTGCCTCTGCCTCCCGAGTGCTGCAATTACAGGGATATTCCACCATGCTCAGCTCTCAAAGCAGTTTTTTTCCCTCTTTGAAAAACC